GGACCTTTTTGTTGAACCCCCATGTACTGCGATTGCAAAATCTATTTGTGAAGCCCTAATGGGAGCAAGAGTTTGATTTGGAGAAAATAGGAAGGTGATACTTGATGGAATGGAAACTGGGAGGATTGAGCAGGTTTTATGCAAAGCAAATGCAGCTCCTTTACCCGAATGTACTGTGGGGGTGGATATCGGGTCTGGCTGAGGAGTTTCTTACTTAGCATGGTAAAGCAGAAGGCATGTAAATCTCCCCACCTGCCAATATCGATTGGATGTACTTGATGGAAACCAGTAAGACGGCCCAAGCCATGCAAGTTGTTAATTTGCTGTACAATAGCCCTCCTGAGGAGCAGCCTGGAGCTGAGGGCAAAAGCCTGAGTGCCACCTAGTGGCAACCACTGGGATTCTGAACCAGTCCAGTTGCCCCTGTAACTTAAGGATGTAAAATAACCTTGAAACCTGAAATACTCGTAATTTCTTGGGTGATGTTGAAGAAATACTCTGATGAGGAGGGCAGTGCCTGGAAGGGTTCATGATAAATTGGAAATGATTTTTCTAGGTTACAAGTAAAAAGATAGGGAAAAACAGAGCACACAAGCACTAATCAAAAGAAAGCTGTTGTGAGCCACAATGTCCGGCTGATTTTTGTATTTTTAGTAGAGACGGAGTTTCACCATGCTGACCAGGCTGGTCTCAAACTCCTGACCTCAAGTGAGCTGTCCACCTCAGCCTCCCAAAGTGCTGGGATTACAGGTGTGAGCCACAGTGCCCCGCCCAGACAATGCAGTCATAACGAAAAGTAGATTGCTGAAGATAAAGAGGGATGTTTCATGCTATAAAACAATAAAGTCCTCAGAAGATATAACAATCACAAATGTATATGTATGTAGTAATAGAGAGTCACAATATACAATGTAGAATGTGACAACTCAGATATATTGATAACTCTGTGACTGTAGTTGGAGATTTTAACACTTGTCTTCTAGTTATTGATAGACTATGTAGACAATAAAAATTAGTAAGGATATAAAAATTGTTTGGTCACATGCTAGGTCATACAGGCTAGGCACAGTGGCTCACACCTGTAATCCCAGTACTTTGGGAGGCAATGGCAGGTGGATCACTTGAGGTTAGGAGTTTGAGACCAGCCTGGCCAACATGATGAAACCTCCTCTCTACTAAAAATACAAAAATTAGCTGAGTATGGTGGTACATGCCTGTAGTCCCAGCTACTCGGGAGGCTAAGGGAAGAGAATTGTTTGAACGTAGGAAGCAGAGGTTGCAATGAGCCACTGCACTCTAATCTTGGCGACAGAGCAAGACTCCATCTCAAAAGAAAAAAAAAAAAGATAGGTCATACATTGGGCCATACAGGACTTGATAAATTTCAGATGATCAAAATCATGAGTATATTCTCTAAACTCAACAGAATTAAATTACCAACCAATAACAAAGAGATATCTGAAAAATTCCCAAATATTAGAAATTAAGGAACACGGCCGGGCACGGTGGCTCAAGCCTGTAATCCCAGCACTTTGGGAGGCCGAGGCAGGTGGATCACGAGGTCGAGAGATCGAGACCATCCTGGTCAACATGGTGAAACCCCGTCTCTACTAAAAGTGCAAAAAATTAGCTGGGCATGGTGGCACGTGCCTGTAATCCCAGCTACTCAGGAGGCTGAGGCAGGAGAATTGCCTGAGCCCAGGAGGCGGAGGTTGCGGTGAGCCGAGATCGCGCCATTGCACTCCAGCCTGGGTAACAAGGGCGAAACTCCGTCTCAAAAAAAAAAAAAAAAAAAAAAAAAAAAGAAATTAAGGAACACACTTCAAGTTATTCATGGGTCACAAATCAGGGAAAAAATTCTTAGGGGAATTTGAAAATATCTATCTGAATCAAAACAGAACCGCATCAAAGTGTGTAGGCTGTAGTAAAAGTAGTGCATAAGAAAAGAAGGAATAGGCCGGGCGTGGTGGCTCAAGCCTGTAATCCCAGCACTTTGGGAGGCCGAGGCGGGTGGATCACGAGGTCAAGAGATCGAGACCATCCTGGTCAACATGGTGAAACCCCGTCTCTACTAAAAATACAAAAAGTTAGCTGGGCATGGTGGCACGTGCTTGTAATCCCAGCTACTCAGGAGGCTGAGGCAGGAGAATTGCCTGACCCCAGGAGGCGGAGGTTGCGGTGAGCCGAGATCGCACCATTGCACTCCAGCCTGGGTAACAAGAGCGAAACTCCGTCTCAAAAAAAAAAAAAAGAAGGAATAAAATGAATTATTCACATTTCCACCTTAAGAAGCTGGGACTTGGCCAGGTGAAGTAGCTCACGCCTGTAATCCCAGCACTTTGGGAGGCCGAGGCAGGCAGATCACCTGAGGTCAGGAGTTTGAGACCAGCCTGACCAACATGGTGAAACCCTGTCTCTACTAAAAAAACAAAAAACTAGCTGGGTATTGTGGCAGGCACCTGTAATCCCAACTACTCAGGAGGCTGAAGCAGGAGAATCACTTGAACCTGGGAGGTGGAGGTTGCAGTGAGCCAAGATAGTGCCACTGCACTCCCTCCTGGACAGGAGTGCGACTCCATCTCAAAAAAAAAAAAAAAAAAAAAAAAAAAGAAGCAGCTGGGACTGTCACGCCTGTAATCCCAGCACTTTGAAGGCCCAGGTGGGAGGGTTGCTTGAGCCTAAGAGTTTGAGACCAGCCTGGGAAATAGACTGAGACCCCATTTCTACAAAAAATAAATTAGGCATGGTGGCATGCCCCTGTGGTCCCAGCTACTTTGGAGGCTGAGGCAGGATGATTGCTTGAGCCTAGCAGGTCAAGGCTGCAGTGAGCCTTGATTGTGCTACTGCATTCTAGCCTGGGTGATGGCATGAGACCCCACCTCAAAAAAAAAAAAAAAAAAAAGAGTGGCCGTAACACTGATCCTACAGAGGCCTGATTGCAGCATTCCACCTAGGATAGCAGGGGCTGCCAGGCACTTCTGAGACCTGTCTAGCCAGGTCTGGCCTCTGGCTTAGCCCCCGTGACACTAAGCGAGAGACTGGCTGGCACCCGAATCTTGGTCATTATGCTGCACTGCCGCAGCAGCCTGGGGGGCGTTCCAGAGGCAGCCTATGTGGGGGTCTGCTGACTGCTTCTTCCCCCCACATCCTGTGGGCATGGAGACACAGGCCCACCAGACCTTCCCTACCCCTGGCCCACGGCTTGGCCGAGCCTCTGTTTGGCATTGGTTTGCTCTGTCGCTGAGGTCCCGGTCTGTGGGAAGAGGCTGACCCTGAGGGAACCAGGGCCCACTGCTGCTTGGGAGGATGTGCTGAAGGAGGGAGGCCTGGGAACCTCCTGGAGCAAGTGACATTGAGCCGAGATGGCAGAGGCAGGGAGGTGGGCAAGGGCATGGCCTGTCCCCTGCCACGGCAGGAGGAGGGGTACAGCCCGTCTCGAACTTTCTCCTGAAGGCCATGGGCGTGTGGGCCTTCAGTGGGGGCATTTGTCCTTCAGCGGGCCTGTGATCTGGTTAGCTCTGTGACTACACAGTGCTGCTCTCTGGAAGAGGGGAGGCTGGGGGCAGCCCAGGAAGGAGGCTAGGCAGAGGTCCAGGGTCAGCGCCAGGCTCCTGACTGCCCCCTCGCGACTCTCCCCTGTAGTGGAGAAGGGGAAAGGGATCTGAGGAACACAGAGCCATCTCCTCCTGCACCCTGTCCATGGGGTGGAGGAGGACAGTGGCTGCCCTCTTCGAGAGGTCGTGATTGGGACAAAGGAATGGGTGGTGGTCTCCCTTCTCCCCTCCCACTCAGGGCACAGATGCAGACTCTGTTCTTGGAACCCAGAGAACCGCAGTCCCTGGTAAAGCCTACACTGCAAGTACGGCCAGCAGAGCCCCAGTTACGGTGGGCTGGGTGGGGTGGGAGGGCACAGGGCACAGCACAGGACCCTGCAGAGTCCAGGGCAGAGGATCTGGGCCATTCACTGCTGAGGGGGCACGAGTTCCTCTGCCCAGTCCTGTGCAGAGGCCACTAGCTCTAGCATTTTCTCAGAGGGGTGCAGGGGACATGCAAGGGCTTGGGGCAGGGAGCCCAGCTGGTCCAGGCCAGATCCCCCCACGCCCTGTCCCGCCCTGTTCCTTGGGATGAATTGCTCCTGTCTGGCCCTGGCCAGTGGCCTTGACCCCAGCTTGCATGCTGTCCCTGGCTCGAAACTGCTCTGCGGCTCCTAGGATGCAGTCCAAACTCCTTGACATGGGCACTCCAGTCCCCCTGCAGGCCCAGCCTGACTTCCACCACCTCCTGGCCATGTCTTCAGCTAACGTATGCTTCCCTCTTTCTCTCTTCTGATAACTCTCCTCATTCAGAACCTCCCCACCTCTATCCTACCCAGATGGTTGCATGGCTCCTTCATGCCATGGCACTGCACATGCATTGGCTCCGATCCTTCAACGCTGTCGCAGGCCTCCTGGGGCTTAGAGACGGAGGTTACTTCCAGAGTCACACACAGCTGAGACATCGGTGACAGGAGAGGAGCCCAACTCCGTGGACACCAGAACCCAGGGCTCCGGAAAAAGCCATTTCGGGTGCTTCCAGGGTATGGTCTGCCTTGGGAAGCTGTTACCCCACTGACGTTTTCGTAGCAGCAACAGCGTCCCCACAGAGGAGGAGGGGGACCGAGAGATTATTCCCATTCGATGCAGTAAGAAACTGGGGTCCACGGGGGCCTTCGGGGGCAGATGGCAGGCAGGCGTGAGGACAGATCCTGGAGCGCAGGAGCCGGGTCCGCTGTCCCCCCGCCTGCGCCTGCGCATTGCGACTCAGCTCCCCGCTCAACCCCGCCCCATCGCTCGGGTTTTCAAATTTGAAACCTGCTTCTTTTCCCGCCGGAACGTGTGGACCAGCGGCGGGAGAGGGCGGGGCGGAGCGCCAGCCAATAGGGCATCAGAGGCTCCCGGCCCCGCCCCGAAGATGACGACAGCGAGCCTCGAGAGGCCATGGGCGAATGGGTGAGCGGCGGCCGGTAGGCCCCGCCCCCGCGGCGCCCACGTGCAGCGGCTGGGCCAGGGGCCTCCAGGGGACCGTCTGGCCCCCAGAGCGCCTTGCTACGAGCGGGGATAGTAACCAGCACCGGGCTGGAAGCTGAGCTCAAAGACGCCAATGAGCCGGCGTGGGTGGATGAGAGAAGCGGGCAAGAAGCAGCACCCGTCAGCCTAAGGGTTCACTCCAGGGCCGGCCCTGCAGCCAGCGCCCTTACCTGCCCCTGGAGATTCCGAGACCACTCGGAGCCGGGCGGCTGGCTGCGGGAGCAAGGGCTGCGGCTCCGAGGCGCCTTTCAGAGGGGCGGGGCCAAGGGCTGGGCGTTCCCGCGGGCGGGGCGTTCCCGCGGGCGGGGCGTCCCGGGGGCGGGTCGGGCTCCTGTGTTTGTTGCACCGTGTCAGTTACTTTGTAACAAAAGTGGTGCAGCCTCTGCTCCTGCCGGCTCCCTAGGCCGGCCCGCCGCCAGCTGTCGCCGACATGGAACCCGTGGCCAGCAACATCCAGGTCCTGCTGCAGGCGGCCGAGTTCCTGGAGCGCCGTGAGAGAGGTAAGGAAGAACCCTTGGCTGGATTCCGGGCGGCGACCTCGCTGACACGGTCCTGGACTGGACCTGGCTTCCGGCTTGAAGGATGCATGGCCCTAGGACAGTAACCCCGGGGCGTTTCGCCCTCAACTCGAGAGGACCCCGGGGCTGTAGAGCAGGGAGGGCTGGGGAAATGGTCCTGGCGCCAAAAGCCTTTCCTGAACCGTGCTGTGCCTGGGGCTCCCGCTGGGACCAGGTCTAGCCCCAGCCTCAGCCTGACGCGGGCGGGGGCTCTCTCTGGCAGAGGCCGAGCATGGTTATGCGTCCCTGTGCCCGCACCGCAGTCCCGGCCCCATCTACAGGAGGAAGAAACGACCTCTCCAGGCTCCTGGCGCGCAGGACAGCGGGCGGTGAGGAGGGCCGTGGCGGCAGGAGTGGGGGTGGGGTGGGCGCCGCCCCCGGTCGGGCCCTCCTCTGTCCACTTGTTGCTTGCATCTTTTGGGCCAGGTGTCCTGCTCCAGGAAGCATTCAGACCCCTCCTGCCATCTCCCCACTCTCGAAACACACTCACACCTTTCTATTCGTTCAAGGACTTCTTGAGCACCTCTAGATGTGCCAGAACTGCAAACAACAGTGGCGGTCCCAATTCCACTCGCACTCTGGCACTCCACGCATCAGGCCACTCACCTCCCCCACTGGCTTCCTCCTTTTCTCTCCTCTCCCCAGCCCTTTGCATATGCTGTTCCCTCCTATTCGAATGCCTCTCCCTCGACTACCTGCTTGGGAAACTTCTGTTTCTGCATTTAGCTGTCACCTCTGTCTGGGAAGCCCTTCCTGACCAGCTGGTAGGGGGCCTTGTTAGGACCCCCATACTCTCCCGGGCAGGCTTCTGTTAAGCATTTGGCTCTGTGTGTCTTTGATTCCCCTCACCCTGCCAGGGGACTCTGGTGTCTGAGGCCAGCATGAAGTCTTCACAGGGGGCTTGTTTGGGGCAGACATCTATAGTGGCTCTTGAGCCACTGGGGGCCCTGGGATTGAGGGCATGAGCAGTAGCTGATTCCCCCTCACCTCATCCTCTCTGGCATTGGCAGGTCTGTGCACAATGAACTGGAGAAGCGCAGGTGAGTCCCAGCCCTGCCCTGATAGCTCCAGCCCCTAGGGCCCACCTCCCTCTGACCTTCCATCCCCTGCCATTCCTATGGCCAGCAAGATGGAGCTGGCACTGCCCTCCAGACCTCTTCCCCCACAGGAGGGCCCAGTTGAAGCGATGTCTGGAGCGGCTGAAACAGCAGATGCCCCTGGGGGCTGACTGTGCTCGATACACCACGCTGAGCCTGCTACGCCGTGCCAGGATGCACATCCAGGTGAAGCCCTCTTCTGCGCCGGACTGGCTTGCCCTGGTGTATGGAGGGCTGTGCTATGGCGGGGCTGGTGGGACTGGGGAATGAGGCCTGAAGTGTGACTTGGGACTGCTCTCTGAGCTTTTACTTTCCAAATCCATTAAATGGGGGAAAAAAGCAGACAATGACTCAGAGGGTTGTTGAGGCTTACACGAGTTCACTCCAAATGTTCATTGCTGCTGTTACAGCTGTTATCACTCAGATCTCAGCCGTGAGACCTTGGGCAAGTCACTTCGCCCGTCTGGACTAACCTTTCCTCCTGTTTGATGGGAGGGGATGGCTGTTGAATTTTGTGATGGGACGTATGTGAGGGTCCTTGGGACTGTAGAGGATTGGTCCTTGCTCTCCTGCTCTCCCATCCTTCAAAGCCTCCTGTTACGGGCAGTCTATCCTGGTGCCACCTGGGAGGCAGCTCTAGCGACTTGAGAGGAAGGGACTGAGAAGATGCCAGTCACTCCCAGGACCCCTGCTGCTGCTGGGGCTGAGCTCAGTGCCCTCTGGTGGTCAAGAATGGGTGTGCCAAATAAAGGCCCAGTGGCCCTGGCAGCCCTGTGGCCTTGGAAACCACAGGACTTTTCCTGCCCTCCTGACCCTCCTGACAGAAGAATAAATGGAGGCACAGCTAGGCTGAGGGCCAGGTCGCACAGCTGATGGGAGGCAGATTCAGGATCCATGCCCAGGTCCCTGGCTTGCATTACACCTCCAAGTGTTTATTGAGCCCTGGTTCGGCCAGGCCCTATTCTAGGCACTGGGGGGCTGTGGCACACGTAGACCTATGTGCTGTCAGCAAATAAACCACAGCTTCGTGCCCCCCAGGTGTCTGTTATTACCATCATTGTGGCTGAATAACACTGGTTGGGTTAACGGCCCAGTTTCTCACACGGAACTTGCCTGGCCTGGTTCTCGAATGGATGACGTGTGCCCCTCGGGGGCTGGCTGGCCCGTGGGCAGGACCTGGGGATGCTCCTTTTCTGGGGCTCCATCACCCCACCTCCTGGACTAATTCATCAGCCTCTTCCTGGCCTTCCTGCTTCCATGCCTCCACCATGCTGTCTTCTACTTTGCTTTAGAATGATCTCTGCAGCACACAGATGACCCAGACCCATCTCCTGCTGAAAACCCCCCAATTGCCCCTGACAGGACAAAGCCTCTGCTCCTTACTTCCTGTGAATCTCAAGGCCCTTCATAACCCAGGCCTTGCTAGTAGGCTGTACTTTCGGTCTCGTCTTTCCCTATTCCCCGCAGAAGCTCAATGCTCCACGCTCTTACCAGGCTCCCTCTACCTCAGCGTTTCTTCCTCCCCATGTTTGCCTTGGCAGCTCTTACTCCTCTTTCTATGCCCAGTCCAAATGGCCCCCCTTGGCCTTCCTTTCCTTGGAACTTCAGGGCTGGCAGAGCTTGACGGGTGGTAGGGGATGGGAGGGAGGGTGCTAATGCCTTTGCACTCTTGAGGGATCATGACCAGGAGCTACAAACTGGTAGCCTTTATTTGTTCTGTAGTTTTCTTAAAATGTAAATTAGTTTTCAGCCCTTCAAAAGACATTTCACATGAAAAAATCTGACTTTCCAGCTTCTCGTGAAGAAATGTGGGGGCCGGGTTTACGCGGTAGCTTACACCTGTAATCCCAGCACTTTGGGAGGTGGAAGCGGGCGGATCAGGAGTTAAAAGACCAGCCTGGCCCACATGATGAAACTCCGTCTCTACTAAAAATACAAAAATTAGTCAGATGTGGTGGCATGCGCCTGTAGTCCCAGCTACTCAGGAGGCTGAGGCAGGAGAATCACTTGAACTGGGGAGGCGGAGGTTGCAGTGAGCTGAGGTCCGCCATTGCACTCCAGCTTGGGTAACGAGCTAAAACTCCGTCTCAAAAAAAAAAAAAAAAAAAGGCCGGGCGCGGTGGCTCACGCCTGTAATCCCAACACTTTGGGAGGCTGAGGCGGGTGGATCACGAGGTCAAGAGATCGAGACCATCCTGGTCAACATGGTGAAACCCCGTCTCTACTAAAAATACAAAAAGTTAGCTGGGCATGGTGGCGCGTGCCTGTAATCCCAGCTACTCAGGAGGCTGAGGCAGGAGAATCGCCTGAACCCAGGAGGCGGAGGTTGCGGTGAGCCGAGGTTGCGCCATTGCACCCCAGCCTGGGTAACAAGAGCGAAACTCCGTCTCAAAAAAAAAAAAAAAAGTAGCCAGGCATGGTGGTGGGCGCCTGTAATCCTAGCTACTTGGGAAGCTGAGGCCAGGAGTCACTTGAACCCAGGAGACGAAGGTTGCAGTGAGTGGAAATTATGCCACTGCTCCCCAGCCTTGGTGACTTGAGACTTTGTCTCAAAAAAAAAAATAAATAAATAAAAAATGGGGAGACCTGGTAGCACCAGGCCTGTTGCCTGTGACAGCACATACCTGGCACCTGAGGAAGTGTCCACACACCAGTGCACCTGGCCCCCAGTTCCCACCGCTGGACACTACAGACTCCAATCCTTTATCCCTGAGTAGGCCCCAAAGGCCTTTGAGATTGTGATGCTCCCCACCCCCAATCTAGGCAGCATCCTCAAAGGCCGTGTACATGGCGGGAAAGGGGCTTGCTTCCTGGAGGATGTGGGTGCAACTCTCTGGGACCTGGAGTTAGTCGCCACATGCCTGGAGTAGGCATCAGCCCTGTGGCCGTGGCCCAGTACTGAGTGGTGTTGGGGTGCAACTCCAGCCCCCAGGCCGCTGACCCCAATCCCTTGCTCCTTTGGGATCTGCAGAAACTGGAGGAGCAGGAGCAGCGGGCCCGGCAGCTCAAGGAGAGGCTGCGCAGCAAGCAGCAGAGCCTGCAGCGGCAGCTGGAGCAGCTCCGGGGGCTGGCAGGGGCAGCCGAGCGAGAACGGCTGCGGGCAGACAGCCTGGACTCCTCAGGCCTCTCCTCCGAGCGGTCAGACTCAGACCAAGGTGAGTGCCCCGAGGCTGAGGGGTTGTGTGGCCCTCGGGGCAAGCCAGGTCTTCTGATTGGACCCCTCCCTGCGCAGAGGAGCTGGAGGTGGATGTGGAGAGCCTGGTGTTTGGGGGTGAGGCTGAGCTGCTACGGGGCTTCATCGCGGGCCAGGAGCACAGCTACTCGCATGGGAGCGGCGCCTGGCTATGATGTTCTTCACCCAGGGCGGGCCTCTGCCCTCTGCTCGTGCCAGGCCCACCTGCCAGGGAGGAGCTCTCCCCAAGCCTTAAGGGCTGTTAGGAGTCACCTGTTGGAATGGACTAAAAGGACCCCTGTGTGGGAACAGGTGCTCCCCCACACCCTGCTGCTGGCTGCCAGGCAGGCCCTCTGGAAGAGGCGGGACTCATCAGGACCTCCCCAAACCCCTGCAGGGCAGGCAGCTTGGGCCTGAGCCCAAGCACCTGGCTCTGCTGCCTCCGAGGGGACAGGAAGCCTCTTGGGCCTCTTCCCTTCTTGGACAAGGCCCCCTGGCCTTTGCCTCACATAACTGTACAGTATTTTCATTAAAAGCCTCTTTCATAACTTCCCCTGTCCATAGTCTTACCTGATGAAAATGGGGGAACGCCCAACCACAAACCCACTGGAAGAGGAAATAAGATCAGTTCCCATCACTGACACTGCTGGCTGTGCCAGTCAGTGCAGTGAATCGTCACAACGCGGAGGCTCTTCTGTCTCCACTTCACAGATGGAGGAAATGAGGGCTGAATGATGTGACTCGCCTGAGGTTCAGAAATAGTGAAGTCAGGGTTCAAACCAAAGCTTTCCTACTGCGGAGCTAGGACTGACTGAATTCAACAAGTATTTATTGAGTGCCTATTAACGTGCTAGATACTGTTCCAGGTACTTGAGACACATCAGAGAACAAAACCAAGAGCCCTGCCCTCGTGGGGCTTCCAGTGTAGCATTTATCGCCAGTTCACCTGCAGGCTACCTGGGGCCTGAGGCAAGTCACTGCACCTTTGTGCTGGGGTCCTCAGCTGCCCAATGGGAGAATAAGCAGACCTGGCTCAGACTGGATAACGTGCCTGGTGTACTGTGGATGCCAAACTGGATACCCTCAACCTACCACCCAGACAGTAGATAGGGCTGGAAGTTGATTTTTAATGATAAAGTACAATGGAGGGAGGGCAGCGGGGCTAAGCCAAGCTGTCTGGGGTGTGGTGTGGCGGGGTGCTGGCTACACAAACTGCTGCTGCTGCTGCTGCTGCTTGGTGGCCGCCTTGCTGGCGAGGTCCTTGGCCTTCTCTGTAGCTGCCAGTGCTGTCTCCTTTGCCTTCTCCTTGGCTTCCTTGGCTGTCTCAACAAGTGTTTTGGAAGGGGCCTCACCTGTTGCAAAGGGCAGGTGGCTGGCTTCAGAGGGTGCCTGAAAGACCCACCTAATTTCCCTCCCCCATGACACCAACCTTCCCTGGACCAGGCTCCACCAGAAAGGTGATATTCACCCTCCTCCCACACCCAGTACAGACAAGGAGTCCCAGCTCAGAGCAGGGCAATGACTAACCCAGACTACACACCACTAGGCCGAGTGAGCCTCTCCCTATGAGGAATCTCCACATACCCAGAAACTCACCTTGCAGCTTTGCCAAGATATATTCAAAACCCTTCATAGTCTTGGTCACGTTGCTTTTGAACCGGGCAAGACCAAATTCCTGGCAAAAGATGAAAAGGGGAAGGATACTGAGTTGCTCATTGACCCCAGCCCCAGTACTGAAAGCCCTGGGTCCCTGAGCTCCAGCAACCCCACAACACTGCTCACCTGGACAGCTCTGGAGACACCAAATAAGCTGGAGGAGACCCAGGCTTCACGGCGGATTTCGGTCCAGCCACTGTTGTCAGAGTTCACACAGTAAACACATCGTTCCTCCACCACCTATGCAGAGTCAGGCCAACCACAATTGTGATACAGTCTTCCATTTTGCTGAGTTGCACATAAATTTGACTGCCTGTCTCTTTTCATGAGGGGAAGCAATACAATGAAAATCCATTCCTTCCACTGACTGCACTCCCAAGTGGTACTGACAGAGCAAGAAGCCATAAATAAGGTCATTTTGCTCTCAAAAACCTCTCTTCTGACCCTTAAAACTAGAAGGCACAGGTCTCCTGAGATCAGCAAAGGGTGTTCCAGCCCATCCTGCTCCTGGATTTTGTTTTCATGCCTCTAGACACATGCAATGTTTGTAACCTGCTTCCACCGCTGCAGTTCTGGAGTTTCCTGACAGTCCAAATAAAAGCAAACATTTGCCGGGCGTGGTGGCTCACGCCTATAATCCCAGCATTTTGGGAGGCTGAGTCAGGCAGATTACTTGTCTGTAGTTCGAGACCAGCCTGGCCAACATGGTGAAACACCATCTCTAATAAAAATACAAAAATTAGCTGGGTGTGGCAGCGGGTGCCTGTAATCCCAGTTACTTGGGAGGCTGAGGCAGGAGAATTGCTTGAACCCAGGAAGCGGAGGTTGCAGTGAGCTAAGATCCAGCACTGCATTCCAGCCTGGGTGACAGAGGGAGACTCCATTAAAAAATAAAAAAAAAAAAGACAATCATCACACTTCTCATTATCAGATAGGAAAAAGTTGAACATTCCTTTCCAGGAGAAAAGAGATCTTTCTCACACATCTGGAACACTACCTTAGTAATTTACCAAACACAGACGTGGGCAGAGTAAGATACCCACTCACTGTGGGACAGTGTCCTCTATGAATCACATTTCTATCTTTTCACAAGAGAATAATATCCATCTCTCAAGGTTATTGGGACAATAAGCTGAGAAAGAGAATTCTCTGAAAGCTTTCAGGATATTCACATATAAGAAGATACTGTAGGACATTCCTTAAACCGTAAGTTTAAAAGTTTCTTAAGAAATAGATCAAAGGAATGCCCTTTCCCCAAATCTCAGGCAGAAATCCATTTAAGTCAAATAACAATGAAACTCCTCTAGTCAAAGTAAGAAAAAGGGCTGAAAGCCTCTTCCGGAGACATATCCAAGGCACCTTATGGCTTGATGGGCTCCTGTTTGAAAACCACTGATGCTGGGTGAGGTGGCTCTTGCCTGTGATCCCAGCACTTTGGGAGGCGGAGGCGGGCGGATCACTTGAGGCCAGGAGTTCAGAACCAGCCTGGCCAACATGGCAAAACCCAGTCTGTACTAAAAATACAAAAAGTAGCCAGGCCTGGTGGTGCATTCCTGTAAAGCCAGCTCCTCAGGAGGCTAAGGCACGAGAATCGCTTGAACCCAGGAAGTGGTGGCGGCAGTGAGGTGAGACTGTGCCACTGCACTCCAGCCTGGGCGACAGAGTGAGACTCTATCACCAGAAAACAAAACAAAACAAACAAACAAAAAAAACACAAGAAAACCACTGCCTCCCCCACTCAGCATCACTCCTGTGCCATATACCTGATGGGAGTGCTTTGCATTTAAAACTTGGGACCACTCAGTAAACTAGGTACCCCTTCCCTACTGTGTGAATGACTCAGACAGGTCCAGAGAGGGTGACCAGCTGCAAAGAAGAAAATGTGAGGTCATACTCTACAGTTGTCCCTCCTCAGTAACCCAGACCTGCCGCAGACCACTAAAGCTCCCTCATGGCTCTCTAGACACACGTATCTGAAGCGCTCTATCTGGGGGTGGGGAAGGCAGAATCACAGCAGGAGGTGTCTCACCATCAGCCGGGCGTGGTTGATGTTCCAGGTGAAGGTGGTCATGGTCTGATTCTGTGGGTCCACAATAGAGTCCTCCAGGACGTACACCGAGTGAGCAACATTGGCGGGAAACAGTCGCTCGGCCCAGCGGGGCATCCTGTTGGTCTTGGTCAGGAGTCGCCGGGACAGCAGTTTCTGGTCAGGGGTCACCTCCCGGTGTACTATGTCTTCCGTCAAGACATGTTTGCTGCAGGTGTCAGAGGGAAGGTGGCCCTCAGGAGCCTGCCCCTAAGAGACTGCCCGAGGTGAATCCCATTTGGAGTCTCCAAGCCCAGAGAGGCCTTCCTGTAACCTTGCAGAGTGGTACGTGCTATGGTTCACACCAGAGTTAAGAGCCCAACCCAGGGCAAATTCCAACTCCCGCCATTTGGCTGACCTGGATTCCTAATAGACCTCATGATTTACTGCACCTCAGGAAAGCGCCACGAGCAGAGGAATAGGATTTCCAACCCCAAGATCCCTCCCAACTGCCCTACTGCCGCCTCTTCTTGTCTCACCATCCTGGGAAAAGAACCTTGTACTAAGATATCAAGTAAACCACCACCCAGGCCCAACCTCCCTTCAGGACCTTACAGGCCTGGCCTGCCCGCTTCCCCGATAAGGTCTACGTAGGATTCGATGTCGAATTCTTTCTGCTCCCATTACTCGGGGATTATCCATACTTCGATCACCAAATAGCGAGATGGTTGGGTTTTGCTCTCCCAAACAGCACGTACCTATAGGGATTCGGGTACCGCTGCCAGAAGGCGGCGAACACTTGGTCCCAGGAACTCCGGAGCACGCTCTGGCCCAGGAAATACTTCACCATCGTCCCGGCCGGAGCGGGCTCAGCACCCACGCAGCATCAGGGGTGCGGAGCCTGGGAGGCACGCGGGGGCCGGGCCGGGCCGGGGCTCGGCGCACACCCGCCGCCAGGCTCGTAGCTCAGTCACCACCGCACCGCGCCCAAGCAGCTGCCGCCGCCGCCGCCGCCGCCGCCATGAGTCGCCCGGCTGGGAGCCACTTCCGGCGCAGCCACTCGGTAGCCACCGCTTCCGGCGCCCGCGCCACGTGACCTTGCAGCCCCGCCCCCCTCTCCCTCTCGCCCCCTCCCGCGGGAGTCGCGGCGCTGCGGGTAGGAGCCGGGTTGCTGGAGACCCTGGGTTCGATTGGTACTCGGAGCCGGAACTGAGCCTAAGCCGGGCAGGCGAGCGAATGACGGAGTAGCGAGCTGCACGGCGGCGTGCTGCGCTGTTGAGGACGCTGTCCCGCACGCTCCCAGGCCGCCCCGGGGCTTGGGGTCTTCGAAGGATAATCGGCGCCCGGGGCCGAACAGCGGGGGCACACTGCGCGCTGCCGAAAGTGCAAGGCCACAGCCAGAGCTCGACCCCGACGCGCTGTCTCGAATCGTTAGTTGGCGGCGTTTGGGGTTGGGGTCTGAGGCCTGCGCGCTGCCTGGGCCGAGCGGAGATCCGGGTTCGCCTCCCGTCCCCGCTCAGGACCCTGACGTGGCTGAAGCGGCCCCGGGAGCATGAGCGGGCAGCGCGTGGACGTCAAGGTGGTGATGCTGGGCAAGGAGTACGTGGGCAAGACGAGCCTGGTGGAGCGCTACGTGCACGATCGCTTTCTGGTGGGGCCCTATCAGAACGTGAGTGCACCCGGAGGGGCCAGGCACGGTGGGCGGGGGCGTAATCTGCACCTGTGGCCCCGATCTCTTCCCTCTCTTTGCAGACCATCGGGGCCGCCTTCGTGGCTAAGGTGATGTCGGTTGGAGACCGGACTGTGACATTAGGTATTTGGGTAAGTTCCCTGGGCATCTATTCTAGGGAGACTCATTCTTGAGGAGGCTTAGGTCCTATTACTGATTGATTTAAGGCCTCACAGACTCGTTTCTCATAGACCCGCTTCCTTATCTGGAAAATAGTGGGGTCTGGAGAACATGGCCTTAAGTTTGACTCAGACTAGGGCTGAGCCTATCCCTCCTCTTTAGGACACAGCAGGCTCTGAGCGCTATGAGGCTATGAGTAGAATCTACTATCGGGGTGCCAAGGCTGCCATCGTCTGCTATGGTAAGAGGGCGTTCTGGGCTGGCCCACAAGAAGTGGGTGCCAGGCTAGCCAGAGAACAGCCCCTGACCACTTGGTTGTGTCTCCTGCATGCCCCACACCAAGACCTCACAGACAGCAGCAGCTTTGAGCGAGCAAAGTTCTGGGTGAAGGAACTGCGCAGTCTAGAGGAGGTAGGTGAATAGACCTCCCCAGAAGACCAAGGGCCAGGGTTCTGTTGGTCTGTGGAGGTGACGCTTGTCTTCTGTCTCAGGGCTGCCAAATCTACCTATGTGGCACCAAGAGTGACCTGCTGGAAGAAGACCGGAGGCGTCGACGTGTGGACTTCCATGACGTCCAGGACTATGCAGACAGTAGCTGTTCCTCGCCCTTTGGGGGGTGGGGGTGTGTGGCTGGCTGGGTAGATCACAGAAAATAGGGGCTGCCTTGGCTGCTAGGGCCAAGTACTGTAGAAGGGTTTCCTGGCCTCCTTGAACTGTGGGGTCCAGGAGACTCCCTGAACTGCTAGCCCTCCCTTTTGTCTGCTTATCTAATTCTCAGATATGAGGCTTTAGTCACTTCTCTTTACAGATATCAAAGCTCAGCTCTTTGAAACATCCAGCAAGACAGGCCAGAGTGTGGGTGAGTGCTGTGCTGGGGCCTCACAGCAGGAACACCAGAGGAAGCTGAATAGGGAACAGAAGGCTGGGTCACTGGGAGATCCCAGGACTACTGGCATTGGGCCCTCACTGATCATCATTTTTCCTGCCAGATGAGCTCTTCCAGAAAGTGGCAGAGGATTACGTCAGTGTGGCTGCCTTCCAGGTGATGACAGGTGTGTGCTTCCCCAGCCTTTATGGAGACTTACTCTAGGCCCACAGCATCTAGCTCCTTTCCTGAGTTACCTGATCCCAACAGAATGGTGCTGAGCTGCCACCTCTTTCTTTGACAGAGGACAAGGGCGTGGACCTGGGCCAGAAGGCAAACCCGTACTTTTACAGCTGTTGTCATCACTGATTCACCACTCACCTGGCCTGGGAGAGTTAAAGGAATTCCCAGAGCGGCTGGACCCAGCTCCTTACTGGGCTTGGGTAGTCAAGTGTCTGAGCTAACCCAGGTCCTCCTGTCAGCAGAGGTGGCACCTGCCTGTGCTGGCCCATGGAACGGAGGCAGCATTGGGCTGACTGTGGGCATGAGGAGGGATAAGGGCTGATTTGGACCCCAGGCTTCTGCCCTGGACAGCACTTGTGTCTGCAGATTATTTAAGTGGCTTCTGATCTGTAAATAAAATCAATGCACTGTGAATCACACCCAGCCCCTTTCCCTGCTGTGTGGATTGGGTGTCCAGACACCTAGTTCTTTCTGGGGCCACCCAGCTGGCCTCACTGCTTTATATTAAGGCTTTCCTATCTCTTATGTTCCTTTGGAAAACAAGACTTCTTCCCAGGGTTACAGCTGAGATACTGGGGCTGAGGTAGTACAAAGCTCACCATTCCTGCTAAGTACTGAAAAGAGTGTGTGAGCTGTGTCGAGATAAAAGGGTCAAGCACTTTATAAGGTTGTTCTGACCAGCTCTACTACATCTGTCATGTTTGGGCCCATGTCAGACCTGTGACTCAGGTCCTGAGCATCCCAGTGACATCCTACAATGTGGTTTAATGGTAGAAAAGTCTTAAGTTCTGTAAGCCAGAAAGGTCTAATGGATCCAGATTTGGTTCCAATTTACAAAAGGGACTTAAACCCTCAGCTTGAGTTTCTCATCTGTAAAATAAGGTGACTACTACACAGCCCAAGGATTGTGAGATCCTAAGTGAAGAGTAATTCTAGCACTAAATGTTTTTCCCAATCTTCCCAAGCACTTTTTGTTGAAAGGGCAGGAAGTTCAGGCCTGGGTCACAAGGGGAAGCAAACTCCCAAGTGTCCTCCAAAGTATTAGGCCTTGAAGGTCCATATATTTCTGAGGGATCAGGTGTTATCGTAAAGACGGCTGACACTTCCTGTTCAACCAGAAGGAAATTTACTGTAGCTCTTTCCAGTATGGGAGGTGTGGCCCCAGTCCAGGGGCTTTGCCTTAGTTTATCCTTTGCCTCTGCTTTCCTGCCCTGAGGCCTAGGCTGAGTCCTCCGCAGTGAACAACACCTGCCTTTGAAGAATATTAAAACTTAGCCAATATGGTCAGACTCACACTTAGAGTGCTTTGGTTCCACTTCCTTTTAGAAAACCAATTCCTCAAAACTGCACTTCCTTATTGAGTGATGGAGGCTTCCTGTAGAGGGAGACTAAAACTGACACCAGCCACTCCCAACAGGAGAGAAAAAGGCTTGGGCAGCCCTGTGGCTGCTGGGAGGAAACACACTACTCCCATGATGTGCTTAGAGGAAGGGCTTAGCTCCACAGTATCCCTGCCCCGCCCCCACCCCATACTATCTCCGGCTGGCTCCTGCTCTCACCCCAAACAGTCCTCCCTCCTGTTAGGCTACAACTCCCCACAACCAATAAAAACACAGGGCAAGGGCCATATATGAGTAAAGTTAAACTTTACTTTACAGTAAATTTTTTTCTATATACAAAGAATTACAGTACATGTTTATGGGGACTCCTACCACAGGGCTCCCCTCTTTTTCACTAGGAGTTTCACTTACAGCTGACAATCTATGGGGGCAGGGGAGGGGGGCAAAAAACAATGATGGACCTTGGCTGACCCCCCTGACCCCTTTCTTAACAATATAGATAGATGTTTATCATCAGCTTGCCTCTCTGCCAAGACCTAGGAAGCAGCTCTGCCATGAGCTGCTGTGTGCTGCCCTCCCCACCTTCAGCACACTCATCTACCCACACACAGGTAGCACCCACCTCAGTGAGACCACCTTGCTCTGGCCTGCCCCAACCCTGGAAGTTGAAAACACTAGAACCATTTATTTCTGCTTCTACTCCCTGTGCCCATCCCTTGTCTAGAAAACTTTGCTTAACTTCCAGGACGTTACACCTGAAGCCCCACAATAACCTGATGTTTTGAAAGTCATGGGAACACAGCTCTAGAGAAGGGACCACATAGGCAGAAACAGCACATATTAAAATTCAAAACACTTCTTCCGAGGCTGTGGATTTCTAGTTAAATTCTTTCCCCTTCCTTATAAAATATTACCCTTAATCTTCATAAGCAGTGGAGGTGCTTCCATGAGTGGAAGAGGTAGAGAGGGGCAGAAGGGAGCTGAGGGAGACCCAACACCCAGAGCTCTCTAACAACCTGCTCCAGGCAGTGGACGGAGGCTATGGACAAGGTGGCCCCAGCCCTGAGAAACTCAACGGCCACCTTCACCTGGATACAGGATCTCTTCCACCTCTGGATTGCACTGGGCCAATCCAGGGTTGGGTATAGGCTTCACTGAGGATCTTCCTTCTCCCCACTTTTAACAAAGCCTCAAAGAAACCTTTCTACGTAAAATCTTCTCCTCCCAAATAGGAATCTGGGTTTCTTAAGCCACCAGTCCCTCAACCCTTGGCAGTGCTTATTTATACCATGAAATTAGCACCATCATTACATTTGTTTGTGTGTACAAAACAATGATCTATTATTTCAGTTTACACTACAGCAGCCTCTGGCCCTGTTGCACTGGGCACTAGGAAGCTCAGCGGAGAACTAACTGGCCATAGCCAATGACAGGCTCCCACAGCAGCTACCAAGCAGTGACGTGGAATGTCTACACGTGGAACCACTCAAATGAGACTTAGCAGGAAAGGGGCTGGAGGGAGCTCCTTCTCTGCCATGATCTCAAGACAAATTAGGACACTGGGCTCCTCTAACCTGGCTGACAAACCCCATGAGAATGACATTATCATTTAAAAAGCCTTAGGAGAAAATCCACCTTATAGGGGCTAAGGGTAAAACCTATCCAAGTTTCATGCTATCCTAATTACTCCCTATGGGGGAAGCTGCCAGGACCAAACTTCCTGCCATTCTATTCTCACAAGGCAACATTAGAATTATAACCTGGGAGTCCAGCTCC